TTTATCATCACGTTTCGGCTCACCGTCCCATCAACCGCATCGGCTCCATTTCACATAGTTTTTCTCCCTTTCCACTCGCCACAGCCGCCAAAGTCTTTACAACAATCTGCTCCACCACTTTGCGCTAGCATTCTATGGTCAATCTCAAGTCGCTAATTCCGCTACCACTCCATGACCGCCTTGAGCTTGAGGGGGCGTATAGAANGATCTAGAAGATCCAAGATATTATTAGTGAATATATTGTATTTATTATATAGATTTTTATNTATCATAGTTTAGGAAATCTCATCTCTATATAAACACATGTAATTCCTATGTTATGATTCATGAGAGTAAATATAATATTCTTCCAATCCTAAACTCTCATCACATCTAATATGTCATACCAACTTCTACTGTATTTGTACCTCACATTGTTCAGTAGTTAAAACTTGATAAGTACATGTGCAAAACAAAGTGAGAAGCAAATCAGAGGATCTGACATAAGAAGATCGTGGTGGCCATTTCAATCGTAAGCATATGTAGAGTGTCGCCTTCCTTAATCAACACTAAGCAAGGAGATGAAGATTATCGTTTTAGATTGATGTATTTGGCAACACACGAATGAGTCTACGACGCTTTTGTTTTCAAAACATGTGAGGAGCAACAATGCAGATCCGTGGCGGACTAAGGCTAGAGAGAAAAATCTTGCGATACTGTTTTCCTTTACGGGGCTATGATAGATACCAACAAACGAATTAACAATATAAGGTCCATGAGTTTATTTTTCATCTTTGAAAGAATTTTACTACTATTTGTAATTTTTATTTCTCATATTTTTAACAGTGTACAAATACACCAATTTGCTGATCTGAAGATAATATTATATTGGGACAAAAATAACTCAAAAAAAATCTATAATCTAAAAATTAACCAATTTTCACATTTTTCTTTCTCTATCTCTCTAACCATATTGTAAGTTTTTAGATTATAGTTTTTTTTTTTGCTATTCCACAAATTCACCCTATTATATTAGCACTAATAAGATGTGAACAAAATAAAAAAGAATAAAGAAATGAATATTTTTTGTCAATTTGGTATTTGACCCATTTTCTTCAACTTATTGCAAGATAAAGTCGAACTCCAGTATTCAATGATCAATAAATGTGATAACACCACTTTCGCTACTGAATTCAAACATTTTCTATATACTATAATTTTTTGATGATGTATTACGTTAAGAAAAGCCAAAATTCGTTCTGTTTAAAAATGATATTTTTCAGAGCTAGACAATATAATTTTCTTTTTTGAAATTCAAAATCCTAATGGAC